AAGCACAGGCAGACAGAATGGCAGGCAGAGGCAGAGGGAGAAGCAGGCTCCCTGACGAGCAAGGAGCCCGATGTGGGACTCGATCCCAGGACGCTGGGATCATGACCTGAGCCGAAGGCAGCTGCCCAACCAACTGAGCCACCCAGGCGTCCCTAACAGGCTGTTTTAATTATCAATGTTTGATAATACATATTAATATCTCAGGATTCTTTTTTTGAAGACTTAATTTTTTTTTAAAAAGCTTTTATTTATTTATTTGACAGAGGGAGACACAGCAAGAGAGGGAATACAGGCAGACAGAATGGCAGGCAGAGGCAGAGGGAGAAGCAGGCTCCCTGACGAGCAAGGAGCCCGATGTGGGACTCGATCCCAGGACGCTGGGATCATGACCTGAGCCGAAGGCAGCTGCTTAACCAACTGAGCCACCCAGGCGTCCCACTTTCCTGCTAAATTTTTAAAATATTTGTTGCATACCTATTTTGTGCCATACACTGTAAGTTACTTTGACATCCATTTTCTCATTTTATCATCAGAATTGCCATGCAAGGTGTTTTTATTGTACTCTTTTTTCTTTCTTTCTTTCTATTTTTTTTTTTTTTTTTCAGAGAAGAAAGCCGAAAACCCAGAGAGTTTAAATGACTGGTCATAGCTAAAACGTGGGTAAATCAGAATCCATGCCCAGTCTCCCTGTCTTTAAAGTCTATGCTTATCATCAAGACCCGCTCCTGGGTCTCCAGCACAGGGCACACTGGCTTCTGTTGTCCGGTTCCCTTCCCTGGCGCATGGGGTCCCACCTCCTGAAACTAGGGTGGCAGTTTTGGTCTTTTCACGACCAGACTGCGCTGTTGCCCCTATTTCCACGCAAAACACCCTCTCTCTGGCCTTCTTTCATAGCTATCCACACTTTCTCTTCATCTCTGTCCTAATTCTGTTCATCAGCATCTCTTTTCTGTGGCTATACTACACCCAATCCATTTGGGAGCAGCCCCCAGAGTGATCTCTCTAGAATGCTAACTTCATCATGGCCCTGACCCGCTTAAGCCAGTGTGGTGCTTCCCAGAAGGAAAAAGTCTGAACCTTACCAAGATTCACAGCACTCTTTTCCAACATACAAGGCAGCTGCACTGAACTCTCCTTTCCTTCTCCAACCCCCATAGGCCTTGTCAGTTGTTTGTGCCGCACATGTGTCTACCTCCCAATCCTGTCTTCTACTCATATATCAAGTCCCAGCTTCGATCCCTGAGCAACTTTCCTGGGCTCTGTGGGTCTGTGTCTGCTCCACTACTTTGGTGCCCATCCAGTGATGGTGCTGGAGCCAAGGAGTACAACCCCTCAAAGCCAAGTGCTCACATGACTTCCTATTTCCAGCGTCCAGCATTGTGTGATATGCACTTGACCATGGAGGGAGTATTTATGCAATAGAAGCTGGCAAATGATACAAATCAGGTCTTTTTTTATTTATTTTTTTAATTGGTTGGTAAACATTTAGCAGCACAGTATTGCGATCCTCCTAAGTTTTCATGACACTCTGACTACTATTTATTTCTTCATTTATTCAGTGAATATTTACCCACTGCTTCCTCTGTGTCAGATACCACTGTAATAGCTGAGGATATAAAGGTGGGGCAGTCGGATAGTTCTCGCATCATGGGGCTTATAGTGTTGAAAGGGGGGAGACAGACCTTAGTCAAATAGTCACATATAAGATATAAAATAATTATGTTAAAAACAAAAAATGCTTTACTGTGTCAGAGGATATTTAGCCTAGTCTAAGAAGATTTTTCCTGAGCTAAAATCAGAAGGATAACTTTGGGTTGAAGAACGAACAAGGTGAGGGAACAGCATTCCAGGCCGAAGGAACAACATGTGCTGTGTTCAGAAAGAGTATGAACCTCAGGAGCAAGGGAGAGTGGACAAGTGTGGCTAGAAGGAAGCTGGGAAGCTTGGCGGGAGAGGCAGGTGCAGAGCTAAGGCCACACTGAGTTTTGAAGACTCAGGAATTTCCCTTTTATCCTAAGAGAAGGGCAAGTCACTGAAGTGTTTTTAGCAGGAAGACCACCTGGTATAGTGGAAAATCAGTACAACATGATGGTTGAGAAATCAAGTCTGGAGCCAGGTTGCCTGGCTTAGAATGCTTCCTAGTATCTTACTAGTAATTTCTCTCTGCCTCAGTTTCCTCCTGGGTGAAATGGGCATTAAATAATACCTACCCTGGAGGGCTGTTTATGAGATTGTAAAGTTCTGAGAACAGTACTTGGCATATCATAAGTGCTATGAAAGTGCTTGTTAATTAAATAAATAAAAACATCTTTGATAAGATAGCTTTCCATAAGTCCTGGATACCTATGGCCTACCAGGGATGCTGACATAAATAATTATAACAAAAGATACGGTAATATGAAGATAAGGAGGAGCTTATTTTCCAGTGGTTATTATGAGCAGAACTGAGGGCATAAAGGGTGTTCCAGTTGGAGAAAGCAACCCTAAGAGCCATGGACATACACAAATGTCACTGTAGTCAGAAGCTTAAAGCCTAGTGTAGGAAACAGATATGAAAGAAAACCAACATGGAAAAATATATTGTAGAAGTACAAGTAAGGAGTGATTAACTTTAACTCCAAAGCAAATGGGAGGTTTCCGGAGGAGGCATCGTGGCTGACTGCATGGGCTCTGGAATCAGGGTGGCTCAGCTTAGAATGCTGACTCTGCACCTTACTAGTTGTGTGATTTGACTTCTCTAATCCTCAATGTCCTGCTTGGAAAAGCGGAAATAATAATAATATAATAATAATAATACCACGTAGCTCAGAGGGTTGATAAAAATTCACAGTTAATGCATGAAAAGTCTTAGTTAGCATAGAGCACTCAATAAATATTAAGCTATTACTACTATTACCTTACGAGATGAACTTTGAATGAGAAGGACTTTGCTCAGCACTAAAGGAATAACATGAGAAAAGGCCCAGGAGTTGAAAAGCATCTGACACAGTTAAAGAACAGCAAGTCAGTGCCAGTTAAAGTGTGATCATCACTGCCAGTCGGTGAACTGTTCCACAATGAGATAGATATAGATATTGAGAGTAAATATTCAGAAGTTAGAAGAAAACAAAAACAAATTGATGGAGGAATTTTATACTTGTATACTTGTTGTATACTCATAATGAAAACTGGGGCTTGTAGTTTTTGTGGTTTGTTTCTACTTTTTCCAGCAAGATTTTAAAGATTAATTGAGAGAGAGAGAGAGAGAATGTGAGCAAGCCGGGGGGCGGGGAATGGTAGAGCGAGAGGGAGAAAATCCTCAAGCAGACTCCCTGCTGAGTGGGGAGCCCAAGTTGGGGGGCAGATTCTCATGACCCCTGAGATCATGACCGGAGCCAGAATCAAGAGTCCGCTCACTTAACCCACTGAGCAGGCGACCCTGTAGCAAGTTTTTAATGTATCTAACAAAAATAACAGTCCATGACTGATTAGAAGTAATAAAACTTGTCCTTTGCCCCAGATAGTTTGAGAAAAAAGTAATTCAGTGAGTCTGGATATAGCACCAAGAGATGAACCTGCAAGAGTGGGCCAGGATCACATTGGGGAACTTCTCAGAAACTTGAATGTCTCAAAGTTCATACTTTATTCCGTGGGCAACAGGGTTAACAAAAGTTTACAGAGATTATTAACTGAGGGTTATGCGTATATAGGTAAATGGACATTGCACGTTTTCTACTTTCTCCTCCAGGGAGCATGTGGTTTTTCTCTTTTTTTAATTAAAAGATTTTTTTTTTCCTGGTTAAGAGGAGAGACCTGAATTGCTCCGTGTTTCACAAAGATAACTGTTTGTATTTGATAAGAGTGTGGTTAAACAAAGAAATAAAAATTTATCAAAACATAAAAATGTTGAAAATACTTGAACATACACTCTGTGACCAGGAATGCATGGGACTTGTTGAGATAAGCTACACCAGGTGATCTGATGAGTGTCTTTTGTTCTGGGGCATCCTCCTACAAATAATGCATAAATTGATAGAATCGACTCTTCTGTATCTCCCAGCTTGGGTCATGTCCTCCATGACCATCACCACCACCTCTCTAGCAATCCTGCACTGGGCCAAATGGGAGAAAAACGTCATTTTTTTGTTTGTTTGTTTTGTTTTTTTAAGATTTGATTTATTTGCCAGAGCGGGGGTGGGGGGAGAGAACACACAAGCAGGGGTAGAGGCAGGCAGAGGGAGAAGCAGACTCCCTACTGAGCAAGAAACCCTGTGCGGGGCTCCATCCCAGGATCCTGGGATCAAGACCAGAGCCAAAGGCAGATGCTTAACGACTGAGCCACCCAGGCCTCCGGAGAATAAATAACGGTTTAAGTATCAGTGTTCGGCATCAAAGCGTGGGGTTTCCAGACTTCCGTTTGCCAGGGTCAGAGACAGGCCCTAATCTTTAGGTTCTCCTTTCAGCCTCACTGCCCCTTCCTTCCCCTAGCTGCACAGCCACTCATTCAAGCACATGTCACCTCTGCCAAGTGTTTCCCCTTACCTGAGGCTCCACACTTTCGGAAACACTCTCCTGAGTCTCCTCCTTTCCTCCATAAACAGGCAAGGGCCAGGGGCCAAGGGCCCAGCAAGTAACCCAATTTTCCGACGGGCGCCAGAACTAAGGTGAGCCCTCCAGTCACCTGAGCCTCAGAGGCCCTCTAGCGAGCCCCCGTGACCCCCTCCCCCGTCCCCCGCAGTCCCCTGTAGCTCCGGCCCCCTTGCCCCCCAGCCCCTCCAGCTCGCCCCGCCTGGCCTGGGCGCCACCGCGCAGTGGGGGCAGGGCCGCAGTCACTAGACGGCGCGGAGGGCTCCCGGCGGGCGCGTCAGGAGTGTGGCCACCGCCACCTGAAAGCGGGGACGCGAGTCTGGCCCGGAGTACCGGGGTACCGCCGCCGCCGCCGCCGCCGCCCCCGAGGGGCCCCACAGGTGCGTTCGCCGCAGCCCCCCCGTGCCCGCCCGCGTGGGGGTCGAGGCCCGGGCTCTTCCCGCGGGCGGGCTGAGCGACTGCGGGCCGCAGGGATGGCTTTTTAAGTCGCTCCTGCGTGGGAGCGACTGGAGGTGGTGGGGGGAGCGCGGGGGCTGGGACGCCACGGGAGACGGGCGGGTCGTGCGGCTTCCGTGACGAGGGAGGACCGGGCCCAGAAACGGGAAGCCGAGCGCCGGCGTCTGGAGGAAGGAGGACGCGATGGAACGGCCGCGAGGGCGGCCGTGGCTGGGCCCGAGCGGCTCCCCCACGCCCTACGCGTCGGGGCCCAGCCCCAGGCCGCGGGGCTGCCCTCCCCTCACCTGGAACGGGCTCCCGGTTCCCCTAGGCCTCCCGGCCCGCTTTAGCCGAGCTCCTCTGAAGTGTTTCTCCGCCTTTACCTTGTGCTTTCGCTTTTGGGGTGCACGCCTCCGGTCCGCTCAGACTCCCGGGTTCCAGGAAGGCAGAACCTGTCTGGCTGGGGAGGGACTGGGTGGTACGCCCTAAGCAACTGAAGGGATGAGCCCGTGCCCAGGATAGATTTTCCTTGAGTAAGTGAACGCGTGCCCATGAAGGAAGGCAAATGCAGAGTGGAGGCAGTGAGACCCAGGCTTACAGCTGGATGGTTTTCCAAAAAGTTGTGCTACTGTTGCACTCATGTAAACCGAGCCATTCACTTGCAAGAAGCTTTATTTATTTATTTATTTTTTTTGCTGTTTTTAAAGAAAATAAGCACCAGAAGCGCCCCCTCATATTTCCAGTTTGGGTAGATTTTTGTGAATGTGTTGATTGAAATATGCCTAGTCTTTTTCTTGCTTGTGTTTTGTTTTCTGCTGCGGACTTTTGAAGAATCATTGTCACTATAATAGTATTTACTGTATTCCTGAAAGATAAGGGTAAAATCTAAAGGTAGAAATTCGTGACTCGGCTTTTAGTAACTTGTTTGTCAAATCAGACATTTCTCTTGAATTCAGGTTTGGGAACAATCTTGTTTGTTTTCCCGAGGTAGGTACTAGCTGATTCGTGAGCGACTGAAGCAAGCTGAATGTAGCCCAGAGAGGGAAAACGACTTTTATCTAGGCAGATGCTTTGGAAGTAACATAGGCTGAGACCGCTTTAATACTAGGTCACCACATCAGCTCTGCAGGTTCCCAGACTTGAGTTCCAGAAAAGCCAGATGACTTTGGACTTGGCATTTGATCCTTTTAGGTCACAATTTCTTAATCTCCCAAGATGAGGGAGGGTTGGCGGGGTCCCTTCCTGAATTAGATTTCTAGGATTCTCTTTCATCAGCCGTTAAAGGTGAGATGTTTTCCATGACTTCATGGAATTCAGCTCACTTCAGCCTCTCTGTTCGGGATTCTGTAGAATCTTGGCCCTACTTTCTTCTCTGCAAATTACAGCTCATTCCTTATTCTTCTCCACATCTGCTGAAAAAGAATCTGGGAGCTCAAGAAGAGAATAATAGACCCCGGGCTGGTAGGGAGAAGGAGAGGCAAGATTTTCTTCCGCATTGCGGGAGGCTCCTGGGTCTGGGTCTAGCTTGTTTCCAATGCAGCCCAGCCTGACAGTGCCATATATCTCCAGTGTATCTGGGGAATTGTATTACTATTAATTTGCATGCATTTGAAATTAGTTATTATAGATCACAACATTTTGGAGCTGGAAGGGCCTTAGAGATTTTTTTTAATGGCACTTAAAAAGTCATTTTACAAACATATTAAAATATTTTTTGCATGCTACATTTAACAAACACAAAGTCCCAAACGTGTTAAGTAAAATAAAATTAATGTTACCTACTTCAGTTACTTCAAGTCTGTTGGGAGAAGTGGGTCCAAAAGTGGTACTTGGTGAAAAAGACCAACTTTCTTGAACTCTTTTCCCAAAGAGACATTTATGAGGTCATGTGTTGTTCAGGCATTGTCTGTAACAAAAGTTGATATTTATGGGGTACTGACCATGCAGCAAGGACTATTATATTTAGTCTTTTTACTTATATTGCCCCATTTAATCCTTACTACAAACCAAAGAGCTAGGTACTATTGCCATCCCCATTCAACCTTCCTAAATAGAAACTGCTTGGAAAATGGGAATGTCAAGTACTCAAATTATAGACAGTTGGAGGCACGGTTTCTGCCAGAAGCATAGGCAATCTCTGTTAGGAGAGTCTGTGTGATGTTAGAGAATGAGGTCTCTGTGTATGTTTGGGATATGTATACATAAGTCTGGGGCATTGTGGGTAAATGAATTTGGGATGGGAACTTAGGGGGGGAATGATTAAGACTGAATTATAGAGAATTGGTTGTTATATCATTTTGAAAATTACTGAATTCCATTGGGACTCTGGTAGACTCTGATACTTTGACCTAAATGCATATGCATCCTAGTTTTAAACATGTTCAGATTTAACCAATTTAGGGAGTATAAAATGGGTGACATCAAGAGCTAGCATCTGTTTAAGAGCTTTCAACTGTGAGTGCAGAGATTATTATTTCCTGGGCTAGCTTTGTGTCCTTGTTAAGGCTTTGCCTCCCAGCCTCCTTTATAAGAGCAACTCCTATTACAGAAAAAGTACAATGACTATATTCCTGTAATCTAGGGACAAGAATGTAGCACCCTTATAAGTAATTGACAAGAGCAAAGGAGGAAAAGAAGGGCCCGTAAAATAAGTGGGAAATTGTTTTGTTCCGTCTTTATCAGTCAAGTTTAGCTTCATGGAAGGCAGAGACCTATCATGGCTGCTTGAAAAACTAAGAGAAGATGCCAGTTTGATTTAGCTCAGGAGGCTGAAACTTTCTGCCTGGAAGGCTGGTGTGATAGAATAGACCTTCCCATTGCTCACAATATTATGAAAAAAAACATTAAAGCAACAATTTTTATTACTTGCCTAGAGCTACAGCTTTAAAATGTGCTTTCTTCTCCCCTTACCCTCCCTAAACCACTTAGCTTTTAAAAACAACCCATTCATGTGTTTGATTCAGTCAGATTATTAGTCCTTTCTCTTTATTCCTGGGCCCTGTTTCTTTAATGCAGCCAAGAAGTAGGACCCATGTGCTTCTAGGTCTCTGGAATGTTTCTTTAGTTATTATTTTATTTAGCACATGTTCATTTCAGTGGCCATTTATTGAGTATATACTATGTGCCAGATTAAGATGAACAACATACTGAGTTTAATTAGCAAAGTGACCATTCCACAGATAATTACATCACAGGGTGATGTTACAGTGGGGATATTCATTCTCCTAGCAAAGACATATGGCTAGAGATGGGGAAGACTTCAGAGGGCAGGTGAGTTTTGAACTTGATTTTGGAGGCTGAGGGCCAAGAGGAGGGGAAAGGATATTCATTCCAAGCAGAGAGAACCACGTTGGTAAGGACTGGGAGGCAGCGAGTATGAGCGTGGCCCTCCCAGAGAGAGAAATGGGAATTCTGTGTGGCCGCAGTAGAGAGGTCTTGTGAGAGTGGGGCCATGTTTTCTTGACTTTTTCACAGCATGGATCACCTGTTTCAGAGTTCTTTCCAAGCAGAATTTTTATTAGAGGAGTTTTATGATTGGATTTTCTTTAGAGAATAGCTCCAGCAGTAATGCTTTGGAGGACCTGGAGATGGAAAAGCCAGGAGGCCGGAAGACCATGAGGATGCCGTTGCTATGAAATAGGGCAAGGGTCTAAACTAACACAGGTTTGAAGGATATTCAGGTAGTAGAGAAGGTGGGATTTAATGACCGGCTGGATATGGGAAATGAGGGTGAAAATAATGCAGAGGTTTGGGATTTGCTTGGCTGGGAGAGTGGGGATGTCACTGAAGAGACTAATAAATATGAGATGAGGAGGTTCTAGGAAAAAGACCGTGAGTGGAGGCAACTGTGGAACAGCCAGGGGAGACTCCTGGCAAACAGCCTTGGCTATGTCTGCACTGCCACATCATACAGTCGAGACCTGCGGAACGTCACCATGGGTCCTCAGTCTGAAAAGAAAAATCAATTCGACAAATCTCTTAAAAAGAAGGATAAACAAAAACAAAAACAAAAATGCACTGGACTTGGGCTAATGACCCCAGCATTGTATTCCATGTGTTTGTTGGAACTCCAATTCTTATGTAAGTTCCAGGGAAGGAAAAGAAGCTGGACACTCAGAGCGTAAGGGATTACTATGAGCCATCAGAAGAAACCCAAATAGAGCGACTAGACAGGAGTGGCTCAGAGGAACAAAGATAAGCAAACTGCAGGAGTGTAGCCAGGAGGAGAGATCACTGTTCACACAGGCGTAGGGAGACTTGGACTACAGAGAAGAAATTTGAGCTGGCTCTTCCAAATAACGGTACTTCTTTAATGGTAAGAATATCACACGCTTTGGTTTCTTCTCTTACTGAGCTTGTCAGGAAGAGACAAATAGGAGATTGTTCTGAGGTGCTGGGCCAAGGGTTTGATCTCACTTTGCAGAGAAAGTGTTAGGAGGCTTTGAACTAAGGGAAGAATAAAAGAGATAGAGTCAGATAAGATGAGAAGGGTAGTGATTAGGAGGAATTCTCTGAACATTTAATGAGTTCTCTGACAAATAGTTGCGACCAAAGAAAAAGGTGGATTGATACAACATTCTTTTAGTGTTGTGGCATTAGACTTGCTTGGAAAAAAGAATATATTAGCATGGCACCTGATATT